AAGCTGCATAGTGAGACCTTGTACCAAATAAATAAATAAATAAATAAATAAATAAATATTAAGAAAGAAAGAAAAGACAAACTTCATTCCTTTTTTTTCAGAACTCAGGCCCTTGAGCTTGCCAGGCAAACTCTTATTCTACTCAGCCATCTCCCCAGCCCCACAGATTTCATTCTTGTTGTCCTTGTGCAGAAGCTAAAATGTCTCATTGCATTGAAACTAGAATTTAAGTGAGACAGAAACTGATTGATACTAAAAATAAATATTAATACAGTTTAGTAAGAGAACATAGTATCAAGTACATTTTGTCTGTAATCCCAGCATTCTTTTTTTTTTTTTTTGGCAAAACCAGGGATTGAACTCAGGCCCTTGAGCTTGTCGGGCAAACGCTTATTCTACTGAGCCATCTCCCCGGCCCTCAACTTTAAAAATAAATAAAAACAGTGAGGAATGGAGCCTCACAGATGCCTAGCCAGTGATTTCAAGGTCCTGTGGCCTAAGGTGTAGAGACTAGGTGCCCCCCAGCTTCTGGGGGGAGGGGGCAAAGCCAGGGGTCGACTTGTGGCACTGTCCAAAAGGCCAGAGGGGCTACGTCTCTCCTTGTGGCCACTCCGCCCACCTTCCCGGCTCACTCACTGGTAGCCTGAGCCTCGGATCTGTACCACCCACCTTCCCCCCACACAGCCCCACAGGTTCAGACCACTTTCCCTGCACCCGGGCTCCTCCCCTACTCAACCTCACACACAGCAACTTTAAGAGCCGCAAGTGCAGCAGGTGAGAGGATCCCTAATCTCAGATACTAGGGAGGCTGAGGCGGGAGTATCACAAGTTGGAGTCCAGCTGGGTGACTTTAACAGGACCCTGTCTCAATATTTTATACTTTAAAAGTGAGTGGGGGGGGGCCTGTGGGTGTGGCTCAGTGGTAGACTGCTTGCCTGGCATCACCCCCCACCCACCCGCCAAAAAAAAAAAAAAAAGGGAGCCAGGGCTAAAGCATTGCAGCCTCACCTGCCCTGGGACCGGGTGGCAGAGATACAAGCTGCAGGAAGCCCCCAGCCCAGCCCAGCGCTGCTGCAGGCACGCCCTGGGGCCGAGGTTCCCCCGCCCACGCTGCAGGCTGGGCACAGCCAGGGCGCGGCTGGGAGGCGCTCCCTGAATCGCCCACTGTCCCCGCTTGGCCCTGACAATCACCAACAGCGGCAGCGCCCGGGGGTTGGTGGCCAGAGGGGGGAAGGGGAAACTTTGGCCCAGGTCCCTCTGCCGGATTCCTCCTGAGATGCCACTCAGTACCAGCTCCTGCGGGACAAGCAGCAGGGTGAGACTGGGGTGAGGGGGCGGGCGGAGGCTTGTCCTATAGGAGGGAGCGTTCCTGCCACGGGGGGAGGTGATTGGGCGGCTCTGCGGGCCGCCTCGCCCGCCCCAAGGCGCCTGTGCAATGAAAAGAGGAGTCCGAGAAGAGGGCCAGTGGTGCGGGCCGTGTGGCGTGGGAGGCGCGGAGCCGGTCCCTCCCTTGCCCCAAGCCCAGCTGCAGGGCACGTGCCATGCGCCGAGCCCCCAAAGCGAGATGAGAGGGGGGTCCCAGCGGAGCTGCTGCGCAAAGGACACCCTGAAATAAATGTTGGCGAGTGGGGTGCAGGGCAAGCCAAGGGGAGACCCCCGTTAAGGCTGCAACTCCTAGATGCACTTAGGAGCCTGCCCTGAGAACCCAGAGGGAGGTGGGCATAGGGCCCACGCTTGGAGTCCTGGCACTAGGGAGGCCGAGGCAGGAGGATCAAGACTACAGCAGCAGCGTAGTGAATTCAGGGCAAGACCCTGTATCCAAAATAAATAAATAAAGGCTAGGGAAATAGCTATAGCTAAGCAGCAAAAACACCTGCCTGGGAAGTGCAAGGCCCTGAGTTCCATTCTGGATAATAATAAAAAAATTATGGGGCCGGGGAGCTGGCTCAGTGGAATAAGCACTTCCCTGGCAAGCGCAGGGCCTGACTTCAATCCCTGGTTCCACCAAAAAAATTAAAAATTTAAAAATTAAAAAAAGAAAGAAAAGATAGATAAAGAATAGGACTCCTGGAAATATTAACATATACTCAGATATAATTCCTACCATATAATCTTACATATGCACAATGAAAGCCAGCAACGCCGCTGTGTCAGCACCTGATACCCAAGGCGGATCCTCCTGCCTTCACGTCCCAGAGTGCAGAGGGCACAGGTGTGCACCATTAGCCCAGCAGAAGTAGCCATTGTGAAGGATTTTGGGGAACAGGGTGGGCTCAGGCTGCCTTAACGGCGGCGGGGTGGTGTGGCATGTGGAGCTGGAGATCAAACTGCTGTCCCGCAAGCCTGACTGGATTTACCTCGGCAGGCCCTTAAGCAACTGAGCTAACCGGCAAGCCCCCTGAAGTAGCCATTGCAAAGTGAACAGCTCAGCAGCCTGCAGTATGTCCCCATACGTCACTTTTTGTTAAGTTCCATTCTTTGTGCGGCCACTACCTGTCTCATTCTAAAGCCTCTTCATCTGCTTCACATCTCCGTGAATTTACAAATTCTAGACATTCTGAGGTCAGGCACCCCTGGCTTCCTTAACTTTGCCAGATTTTTTTTTTTAATTTATTTATTTATTTTTATTGAAAAATAAATATGAATGAGACAGTTTCACAGCGGATTAATAGGACAGTTCTGATAATCAAGACATTACACATTGTTATCTTCTTAATGGTTATTGTTATCTTCATAGTACAAGAAGCAGACAGGATATTCTGTCCAAACACTGTTAGTACACCTCTTTCTTTTTTTTTTTTTTTTCTTTCCATAATTTTATTGAGAAACAAACAGCAATGAGACAGTTTCAATAATTAACACATTGGGTCGGGGAGATGGCTCAGTGGAATAAGTGCTCCCCTGGCAAGTGCAAGGGCCTGAGTTCAATCCCCAGCTCCACCACAAAAAAAAAAAAAAAAAAAAATTAACACATTGCATACATTCTTCTTAGTGGTGAATTGCTGTCCAAAATGCGGACTTGATATCCTATTTACAAACACCATTAGAACGAATCCCTCTATTCGTTAAGAGAATGTAACTATCTATCCTAACCACTTTGAATACACAGATACAAAATGAACATTCATCTGTATCCCCTTTTTTTGTTAAGTTCTGTTATTTGAATATTATAGGTGTGTAAACTCAGCAAAATATTCTAAAAGAGTTCAATAGCTCATAATAGTATTGGGTCTTCCACTTCACTGGCAATGTCAGAAATTGTTGACCTGAGTCCCCTACAGCTCAACATAACAGCATGGCTTTATTTCTGTTTTCTTTTTTTTGTTGTTTGTTTGTTTGTTTTACAGAACTGGGGATTGAACTCAGGCCCTTGAGCTTGCCAGGGAAGCACTTATTCCACTGAGCCATCTCCCTGGCCAAAGTTTGTTGTTTTCGGGGTTTTTGTACAGTTTATTTCTTATATTTCATTTTTATATTTTTCTGCTGGATGGTTAAGACCAAGGTAAGGGGCTAGGGAGATGGCTCAGTGGAATAAGCGCTTCCCTGGCAAGCGCAAGGGCCTGAGTTCAATCCCTGGTTCCGCAAAAAAAAAAAAAAGACCAAGATAAAGCAGGACCTGTGCAACAAGAGTTGTAGCTTTTGGGTCTGATAAGGTCAGTGAAATCCCCTCAGGATTTATCCTGAGATCCTGTACCTCAGATTGTAGAACCTTTGTCAGTGTCAGCCATGTGGATGAGTCACGGCCATTGCTTGGCCAATGTGCTCTCTGTGAAAGCCTGAGAGAATGTTTTCTCTCCAAGTGACTCTCCTTAGGCACACTCTACATCATCGATCACTTTCCTCTTTGGTCCCATAATCTCCTTGATTAGAAAATTTGGGATACTACCGAGTTACATGACGTTACAGTACAAGTTCTCATATGTCCTGAGTCTTAATTGACCTTGGAAGGCTAGAGCCAAAATGTTCACTTTGCCAGATCTTGAGGGGGTAGAACTAACAGAGCTAATGGTTGTGGTCACATGGTGGTGGTGACCTGAGCCTGACTCCTCTGGTCTCTGTGGGTGGAGGCCCTCACAGTTTGGGGGAGCCCAGAGGGACCAGCCTAGAGGGGCCAGAGGGAGAAGTCAGGAGGGAGGACGAAAGGAATTGGCTTCACTGGGCCCATGTCACTTAAGACTGAGTGCTATGGACCACCTCGCTGGGAGGAGATGGCAGGGGCAGGCTGCCCCCAGGGCTGACTTGGAGGAGTAGCTCTGGGTGTCCACAGCATGGGGATGGGGGAGCATGGCTGGAGCCAGGGATGGAAGACGTGGAGCTTGAGGCTTCTGCCCTAGGGACAGAGCAGTTTCCAGGATGGAACTGGAGAAGGGAAATCCAGTCACAACAGCCGCCTGCACTGAAGTCAGTTCAGGATACAGTAAGAAGGGCTGAGGAGATGGCTCAGTGGTCTAAAGCACCTACTTAGAACAAGCTTAGCAAAGCACAGGGACCGCGGTTCAATCCCCCAGCACCACATGCCAGCCAGC